CGTGGAGTATCAGGTGCTGTTCCTTGTGTGTGGAAGGTCCTAGGCAGATGACAAGTGTTGCCACCAGAGATCTGGGGGACAGTTGCTGAGTGATCCCACCCCACATTTACCCCACAGTGGCAGATCCTTCAGCTTCTGTGTCTCAGGGCTTGGCTCCTTGCTCCAAGCATTGAATCACATAATCAGAATGGAAAGGGACCGCAAGAGGTCATGTAGTTCAGTCCCTTGTACTCATGGCAGGAGCAAGCACCATCTAGACTATCCCAGAAAGGTGTTGTCTAACCTGATCTTAAAACTTTCCAATGATGGAGATTCTGCAACTTCCTTATGCAATAGATTCCAGAGCTTAATTGTCCTGACACTTGTTAACACTCGTTAAATCGTCAAACAAGCATCAATGTGATTCCTCCCCTGCTACTCCTCATTCTTGGGAGGCGCGCCCTACAAACATCCAAAAAGCTACCTCATTGTCATCCTTCAAACCCCACCTTAAAACTTTCCTTTGCTATGTTGTAAAAATCTTGACAACAATTAGGCAGCTGGTAAACTAGGATCACAGCTTATAATGTGGGCCAATATTGTTTCCTTCATTGATCTGCCTGTCCTCTTTGTCTCAAGACTATTAGCTGTTTGAGGAAGGGATTATTTTTTTGTTCTATGTTTGGACAGCACCTAGCTGGGGTCATATTCCTTGCCGGGGGTTCCTAGACACTATCTAATAGCAACAAATAATATTATTTCTATTGCACTATACTGGAATCCTCTCATTTTTATTGGTTAGGAGAACCTGAGGCAAGGGGGCACTTGCCATGTTTTTTCCAATTTCTCATCAAATTATTTTTTACTGGCTGTGCATCATTTAAACTGCAAAACCTCCATAGTCACTCCACATGCTTAAAAGGCACCTGTCTTACAACATTATCTACCTGCTGCATCACAAATTGTGAAATGGAGCTGACTGTGAATTTCCAGTGTGTGAAACCCTGTTTCATCTGAGAATGCTAATTTGTTGAACCTAATATGTTTGGTGAAAACATGTCTGTTTAGACAAATTTCTGATAAACCACATGCAGGTGTCTTGCCAGCTAGCCAGTCAGGCTGCTGGTGAATCTGTGCTTCCAGGAGTCTGTAGCTTTTGGAAAAGCCTCACCATAGGGAGTGCCAAGATCCCAATGCTTTCAGTGTTACCAGGGCAGCCTCATCATGTATCTTGTCTCAGGGTTGGGATAGACTTCCAGAGTCCCCACCCAGCTGTTTCCCCAACTCCTGTTACATTGGGAGTCAACTGCCCTAAGAACTGCAAAGTTCAGCGAGTTAGCTGGCATGGGAGTTCCCAGGCCAGAGTAGTATGCATGGTGGGGCTGCCACACAGCCAGAGACCCTGAAAGTCTTAGAAATGGCTGAATGAAACTGAAAAATTCTTGTAAGTTTCACAGTAAATTGTTCAATAAAAGCTCTGAAATAGATAAAAGCCATATCAATTTCACTTTGGGCTGCCCCTCTCCTTCTAGGGAACATATTTCATTTTGGAAACTTAATGTGCTGGTTTTTCTTAAATTAATTTTTTTGGAATTTCTGGTTCATGGACAATTTCTAAATATAAAATTTTCCCATGAAATGAGAGGTGGAAACCAAAATGTATGGGAAAAATATATATAACAGAACATTCTCTCTCTCTCTCTCTCTCTCCGTGTGTGTGTGTGTGTGTGTGTGTGTGTGTGTGTATATATATATATA